TGCTCACAGTAATAAATTTAAATTTATATTATACTTTAATAAAGCATAATATAAATGAACTTGAAATAATACGTATATAAGGTGAACGTTTAGTTCCTGAATGAAAAATGACCTAGCTTTCAATTGTGGTTTAAAAAGCAAACTTGTTTTGTAATATTATTTTAACCATTTACATATACTAATGAGGTTGTGCATTACGTAGTTACTATGTCGTAGTGCTTATAGGATGTACAAGTAACTCACGCGTAGTTATTGCGTTAAGTAAGGATACGTCCTTGCTAGCATATGGCAGTTCTAAGTTGCCATGTATCTATAAATAGGCATCGTCAATTAATTACAGTGTAATTAGCTAAAATGTTTTAATTAGCCTTTTAACGTCTGTGTTGACTCTATTTTGGATAAAGCTACGTAAAATATTACTGCTTAACTTCAAAAAATCATGTAAGACACTGTTTAGTTAAACACGTGTTTAACCCTTTGACTGCCTGTGATTGGTTTCATTGTCGTCAACATGGTTGTAAAGGTATGTTTTACCCTAAAACATGTATCACCAAAAGGTATTCCTATATAAGTTATTTGTTATTTATTTGGCAAGATCTCAATTCGAAAGCTTATGCATAATCACATAACAGTAATCGTGATTTAACAAAAATCCAGGTCAGAATTTCGGTAATGTCTAATATCAGCGTGCGATAAAACGGTCGACATATGTAATTGAATCACTGTCTAGTTTTTGAGAAATAATAATTTAAAATGATAATATTAAACCAATCAATACTTTTATGTTCTACTTACGCTTAACCACATTACTGCCATATTTTTCTTAATTGTAATTCATTTTTTTTTCATTGATTAGTCCATTTATAATTTCTTTAAGTTGATCTGTAAATGTTTGTCATTTCCAAGCCTGTGCCAAACCCAGTAAATTGTGCAAAGCATTTATTAGTTAATCTTACACAGTACCTAATAAATCCATAAGGTACTTATGAAATCGTCACGTGATTGAAATTTAAAACATTCCTTTAGCTAACGCAATTTATTTTCCCCCAACCGCTTCCACCCAAAAGGGCAAAACATGCTTCCAAATAAAAACATTACTATAACGCGAACCTTCCACAAGATCCTTGTAACGTGTTCTAAAAAAGTTACTCGGCGGACTTTAATCTATGTAAATAATAATGAACTGGGCAGCCATATGTTGTAACTCTGTGCAATGCACCTTTAGCGCCTACAACACGCGGCTTGGTAAATCTAACTGTCCCTTCTAACTGGTGAGTAAGGTACAAAATTGGTGTTTCGACAAAACAAAATATTGTTCGACCAACAAAATTGCCATATTTCTACTCATTATTTGTATCGAAAGAGAAAACTAGCCATGACCGAACTGTTTTAATTTAGATTTTTTTTTGCCAAAACTTGAGCAAATTGCTGGAGATATTAATGAATAACAAATTGATTGTTTAATACAGTACGAAAAGTTTGACGTCATTCAAGCTCAGTTTACGACCTTTACGAGTCGGAACAATTTGCACGAGAATAGAACATGGAAACTAGCTATAATGCTCAAAACAATCATTTGCCGCGAACCGAAACTCTGGTGATACTGTAAGAAGTTGCGACACGGAATGCTACAGACGCTAGATAAAAATTGAGAATTAATTGTAAAGAACATTAGGCTTGGCACCATTTCGATTTATATTCTTCCTGAATCTTTTCGAAATACTTAACTTGATATGTATTAACCCTTAATTTGGCAAAGTATAAAATGCAGTAAAAAGCTTTTTTTGTTGTAATTATAATTGATACACATAAAACTATCTTAAAAAAAATAATAATTTAGGTTTCCTGAAAACTTATGTATGGGCATACATTGTCAAATTAAGGGTTTATATAAAACAAATACCCATCGCCGTGTCAATCTGTATGTAATAGAGTCAAAAACTCCTTAATTTTCTTACGTTTTCATCAATAAACTGTTGTCTTAAAATATAATTAAGAAAACAAATCTATGGTCAATCAACTAGCCTGTATTTAGAACAGTTACAACACTTCTTTACTCGTAGACCAAATTAAACAAATCAAAAAAGTTTTCGATCACTACCCAAAGTTGAATATTTAAAGTGTATCTTATCTAGACTAAAACTTCTTATGTCCATTTCTTTAAGACAATAAAAACGTTCTTTTTTGATTAAAAAAGTTACTTGATAATAACATACTTTTTAATAACATATTAACTTTTCCCAATGTTCAAATACTTTTATTGATGTTTGTATATTTACGTAACTTATAATTCTATGTTTTCGCAATCGATTTTCCCTAGGGTCAGGTTCGAACACGATCGTTTAAAACACAATTGGCGGCAAAGCGTCGGTCACCCGAAGGTCGACAGGGTCGTGGACCTGCGAGGAGAAAGCGACGCTTCCGCGAACATTAAGTTCCGACTTTATAATTTTGTGTCTATGTCACGCGTAACCCAACTATTACGTCTATTGGTGAATTTTGCGTACTCGTTATGGAAAGGACGCTTCATATGCAACAGTAAGGTAAAGTTTGCATTAAATTAATTTAAAACAGCCATACTGTAACTTTTTTATCCTACATATTTATTTTATCCTGATAGCCCAGGGTATGATGTAATTTCAAGTCCCAAAAATATAGTCGAGAGACGTCCACGGTATTCCCAAACGGACTTAACATACAAAAAACTTTTTTCTTGAAGGCCTTTTTTTTCAAAGTATCTGTTTATGATTTGGTTCTATTTTTGGGCGGGGATCATTAACATCAGATTTGGTCACGATCCTTTACTTCTTATTTCATCTTCAAAAATAATTACTGAATGAATGAAACAACCTAGAGCGCTATAGAGTCGGACGTTTTCAATTTCCAAAGTAAACTAATCCTTGTTACGATTATTTTTGCAAGCTAGGTATAGATGTCAACTTTTTGTCACCCCGATTTAAAATTGTAACAAGATTTGGTATGGATTAACACGATCTAGTCCAAGGCTCTCTCCTACTTCAGTAACTGAAACTTTGACATCTACGCGCAAATATTCTCGGGACTGTATAATCTCCTTACATTGATTTTTGATCGTGTTTGCATACATTGTATTGTAACAAAATTAAATCAACTGTAACATTCTGTAGTAATTAGTTGTTTTTGTTATGCCCCTGACTGCACTTCACTTATCCTCGTTATCATATTGTTACGCTACAATCCGTAATTACGTCATAACTACTACCCGTATGAACATAGATTTAATTCATGTTCCTTACGCCGGATTAAACAGGAATTATACATATGTAATTAGTTTATTCATGGGCCATTGAAGTTTACGTAAAGACGAAGTTTGGAAAATTTCGCTGTTCACTTTTACTTCGCGTAAATCGCATTAAGGAAAAACATAAAACTGTCTTCTGGGCAAACTTACATATGTAAATGTTTTTAATCAAAGAAACACATTTTGTGAAACATTAATCGAGACGAGAAAAGACTAAAATCTCTGTATGAAACATATCGTCATCCCTGTCATTATCATTGACAAAACAGAGATAACAATATGTTTTTGACGGGGATTTTGGTCTCAGAAACCCAGGATACATAAAACATAAAAAACAAATAGGGTTTCTTTCGAGATAGTTTTTCGAGTATTGGGGAAATTAAAATCTTGGTGATATCTTGACGATATGTCGACAAATACAACAATTTTACTACGAAAATTTCGTGAGCCTAAAGGTAAAACGTGACAAAAATTATTAGTTTCTTACGAGGACAAGTTCAAGTGTGAGACCGTACTCGTAACAATGATTTCTGACACCGTTTCTAACGTACGTTTACGCTACGTTATATTTTTACGTGTTACGTTTTAACAAGTTTTACTGAGACAAGTGCAAAATTGATTGGTTTCTATTTAATTATAGATTATATTCTATAATCTGTTGCCTTGAAACTTTGAAAAGTACTTGAAAATTACGTTACTTTAACGTGTTTACGAAAAATTACTGAAATATGGCAACAAGCAATCTTCAGCTCTGATATTAAAGATATTAAGGTTGTAACTAATTTATCATTTCATGATATCCTTTTATTAACAACATCCAATTAGGTATTAATATCAGATAAATCGTCAAATAACGATGTTAAATCCTGTAACATGTCAATCAACGTTAAAATGTTTTCTTTTGTAAATGAGTTATATACTCTTTCTTAATATTATATAAAACGGGCTGCACTTCCCGACCCATAAAAAGAAGCTTATTAATTATATTAATTAAACGTGTTAATTCTTGCTGATTTAAAAAGCGATAAAGTATTACCGTATCAAAGCAAGTTCTACATATTATAACGTGTAGACTTATTCGTAATATTTATTTATTACTTAATAATAAAAGGAGCGAAAGAGGTGTGCCAAGACCGCACCAAAATGAGGCCCTTGTTTTTTGACTACCTCTTGGAAATGAGTTATGTTCTTGTTAAAAATAAGAAAAATGTAGTGACATAATAAGTAACCCTGAAATACAACGGCAACAATGTGAGACACGAAAATAGAAAATGTTTTCAAGGCAGTGTTAAAAATTCCATGTCAATTATTGTAGTATACTTATGACTTACAGCATGTAATTACGTCGGTGCCTTAAACTACCGAGGGCATTGAGTCATAGTTTATTAATTTAAAAATATATCTGTTTTGATATAAGGGATGAAAAGTATTGCTATTTTATTTTGATAATACCAAAGATACATTTGTAAGTATACAAAATATAAAAACGAACGCAATACATTGTTATTGTTGAAAAAATATTAATACAAAAGTATTTAATTTTTGTGATGATTAAGAAGGTCTATAAAGATAAAAACTAAACATAAAGTAGTTTTAATCAAACCAATGATGAGTGATTAGGCTAAAAAAAACCTACTGCACTCACTTAACAATAAATGAAAAATAAAAAATTTGCGCTAATTTGCAAATTAAGTAAAAAGAAAAATTTACATATTCTTACCACACAATATAATCATCCGAGGCCAAAATGCGTACTCCATATTTAAATTAATAAAATCCAAATTAACACAGAAAATATTTATTTACGTAAAACACTTATAGGCTGCGTTGAACTCGCGCATACGTGCGGCGCGCTTCGCGGTGCAAATGAATTGTGGATTGCATACAGCCGGCTGCGCTACAAACCAGACCTTGTGTATAACGACGAACTGAGCAGCATGCCTTATACTTTGCAAAAAAATCATAAAGGAAAGACTTCTCTATTATCATAAAAGAATACTAACTTCATCATTTCTGTAGGTTTTGATTGCATTCATACTAATACAAGTGTCAATGTAGTGGTGATCTGGTGTAGGTAATAAATTTTTCATTTTCACATTATACTTACTTTAATTATTTTTCTTAGACCAATGTAAATTCAAGGACTATAAAAATAAAATAGAATATGAAATGACTAATTAACGACAAATAATTATTTAATCTTTGATTCAAAATTATACATTTGTGATAATTAGCTAAAATCAATCAGATCAAGAATAATATAAATCAATATTTGTTCTAGGTAAAATTTTGTACACGTATTTGTACATAAAAATGTAAGGAAAACTGTACTTATTAGAGTCCTCGTATAATTTATAAGTAATCCCATCTTTTATAAACATAAATGCTCTCAACATGCAAGTTTAAGGTAGTCCTTAAAGTACTAAACGTATCCTGAATTTAGAGTCTAAAATATGGTGTCTGTAATACTCCATACGCGCACAAATGGATGTGAACAAAAACAACCATTTAGAGTCTTTTCTCACAATTAACATACAGTAGACAAATAGGCATTGTAGCGTTTGTGAATACGAATTTGACACGTAATTACATTGTTTATGTGTAGCTACTCGTATTTTATAATTGGTGAAATAACCACGTGGTTGCATTAAAATTTTTATAATATTCTTAGTTTTCTTCTATTAATTCTGTCCGGAACTAACGTGCAAAACTGTAGACTGGCCGAAAATATTTATATCAATTTTAATAGAACTTAATCGAAGTTGCTAAGCTCTGCTACAATGTTTAAAGGTAAGGAAAAATTTTATACATCGCAAATATCTTTAAAAGTTAGTGTATTAAATTTTTAACCAGGCGTTTTTACTTCTTTTGGCGATTGAACCCTTGTCTAGGATTTAAATGCCCAAAAAGTATGTCACCAATATTTTGATAACCAACTGTACAACAATTATTAATTTTGTTTTTTGTGTGATTTTTGTATTATATAAGGATTTTTACAAGACTTTAGAAGATAAAAGTTGGAAGCAATGAATTAGGGCTAATCATTTTTGTTTAGCAAAAAAAACACATTACTACAACATATTTTTTTATTTTAATACTACGCAACACTATCAACTATTATCTTAGCTTATCCATCAATATTCTTAATAGAATAATTAACACAAATATCTTACTTCAAACACATTAATTTCCACGAATTGAAACAGTAATGACAAGTATCACATGTTTACAATTTCTTTGCATATAATGCTGTTTGTGTTCATTTCAGTTTGTTTTGTCATGTTATTCAGTTTTTATGAAGGCGCTGATTTATAATATATTCTTGGCGCTGATTTATTTGTCATTTCGTTAAAATATTTGGTACCAAGCGTACGGAATGTATGATTCTTTTTGTATCCATAATTAGAAATAATATAAGTGTTTAAATGTACTTTGAGAAATTATGTTATAAAATATCAAAATAAGTAAAATCATTGTACAAAAATTGTTTTCAGTTTGAGTTGTTAACGCCCAATGGAAAATGCACTGTAATTTTTCCCTTATATTAAGACAACTATACTTACTTATAACTTAGAAAACTATTGATGAACTTAGCAGTAAATTTATGTTATTGATATAGACAAATATATCACATTGTTTATCTTGTAGTAACTAAACGAAATGTTTAAATTACAATTATCCCTATTTCTATTATCAAATACATATTATATAATATATTAATACACACTTTTGCGGCTGCAAAAAAGATGACCAAACAAAATATTTTTAACAGGTTTTTAGGAAACAAAATTGCCGCGGGTTTCTGAGACCGAAATCCCTGTTTAAAACATATACTGCTATCTCTGTTTTGTCAAAGGTGAAAGACAGTGATGATTATATGTTCTATACAGAGGTTTTAGTCTCAGAAACCAACGGTTAGCTATATAAGTTGTGGAACGTTTAAACACAAATATATGTCAGAAATTATTCAAGTACTTGTAATTTAGCAAGTCACTAAGAAAGCAACTTTTTTGTAGGCATTTTCTATTTAGATTAATTTAATGAGGAATATTCTTGGGCATTTATTTTACAGTTTCAAAAATGACCAATATTTAACATAAGACAGAAAATTTCCAAATCAATAAAAACTTAATCTAACTTACAAATATTTACAAGAAAATCTCATCGACTAATTTCTTGTCAATTATTCTATGAGGTTTGGGACGGGATTGTTTCCTCTTTCGTCGGTATAGTCTTGCGTTGAGTGGGTACAGAGCAGGGGAGAGCGCGCACCGGACGTTGAACCACCAGTCGCAGGAGGCCACGGCCTGCGAGAACACAGTGCCATTGGGGCAGAGGAACGAAGCTTGGCGACCGTCGATATCACAGTAGTGCCACGCTGGAAACAAAAAATGTTCGTAATTATTATTAAAGAAAATCATAGAATATGTCTAGTATAACATAATTTAAACAAGATAAATAAAGGAAATGATTTATTAGGAAATAATGAATTTATTTCAAAAATCTAAAAACAATGATAGTACTTTTGTAGTTAATGTAATACAAAGTATTCGATTTTATGAGAAGAGGAAGAGGCTTAAGAAGTAGTCATTTAGTTTATCTCTAATATAAATCAGTGTTAATTATATAACCAATAAAAATATTTTTATTGCTACAAGGTACTTTAATTATAAATTGTAACAATAAGTAATTAACAAGCGGAAGATAAATTACGAAATGTAATAAGTTTCTTTGTTAAAATACTTTATTTCATTACGTTATGATGAAACACTCAGCTTTTGTATTTAGTAAAACGAGTCAATGTTAAAAAAACAATTCGATTTTTTAAAACTTTAACTGATTTAAATTCGCCAAAAGACAATACAATTGTCAGCCTCTTTTAGAGGGCCGACAGAGTATCTAATACTCTTACATACAATGTATAGTTCAATATCATGTATATTTGAAATCATTTCCTTCTTACGCATATTCTCTTTCACATAATCTATCCATAGCTACTCCAATCTTCCTCTAACATTATAGGCAAAGAAAAAACAATAAAGTAACTATAAGCTAATTGTACTAACATTTCAATAAAAATAAATAATGATCCTCATCCTTCTTCCTGGTCACGATACCATTGTCGAGTTAACAAAAACTTGCCAAAAATTTAGACAAAATATTCATAAAAGAATAAAGAAGATCAATTTCGTAACCGTAAACGAAACTGGTTGAAAAGAGCAGGATCTCACGAATGATCGACATTTTTTTATTGACTCAACTAATCGTCTTCCGGGTCAGTATTATTTATAATTAGTTAACCTTAGATCATTGGAAGGCCGAACTATGAGCATCTAATGTTACGGAAGGTCAAAATTAATATTACCTTTTCATTTTAGATATCAACTTTTTTTAAACTAACCTTAGATGTTTATATATTTCCTTTCATAGTAAAATGTGGCAAAATACAAGTCCCTTCTCCGCTCAAATTAACTTCCGAGTGCGAGGACTAGGATTCGGGCTTTTTCAAAGGATCATTTACTAAAAGGTTCGTTTCCCTCAAATCACCTACTCTTACTACCTACTTATACATAAGTCCAAAGGTAGTAATAGGATAACTTCTTCTAACTGTTTATAGAACCAAAGCTTTATTCTAAATCACGTCCTTGTAAAATAGTGCATGCATCAAAGGGCATGATGTTATTTAATAGCATGTATGTATTCATTATATTTGATGGCCACAGGCCCATCGAACGTGATGAATATGCAATCAATCAACTATCAATATTGATTTAAATTATTAATCTATCGACATACTAAATTAAAATTCCTTCATCAAATTGAGCGGAAATCTAGAACGTGCACAATTTATACAACTTATATGAATTGACAGATACTTAATGATATATTGAACATAATCATATTTTTCTGGAATGACCATTTTATGATAAGAAATTATAATAACATAAAAAGACAAAAATAATATATTTAATTATGTCTCTTGCATTTAGGCGGTTTTCTTATAAACTCTTTAGTAAGCATATATTACGAATGAATTAAAAAAGCTGACTCCACCAACATATGGAATGCAAGCTAGGCAAAGACACGGTGAGTAAATCATATATTTAATGTACAAATGTTGAACATATTCACTAATATTCGGATGTTTCTTTGAATTTTAAGTAAAATTATAAGTAATTAAAATTTAGCACATTGCGAATTACAAAACATTTTATTCTCTTACAAATCCTGATTTCGTTAATTTTGATAATAATTCCGCAACTGAATGTAAATATTTCAACATCGTTAGTAAATGCAATATAACATAAATATATATGTGTGATTGTTTAATGTCAAGGAGGTTCCGTGAGTTTTGCTCGCAGCAAGACCTGACTTGTAACACCATATCCACATGATCGCAGATGCTCTTATAGTGCAAAAGATATTGATATCTCTCTTATTCTCTTTGAACAAATAGAGATAATAAACAAAAGACAAAAGTTTCTGCAGTGGTACATAATTTGGAAACTACGTTTATTGCTATGTAAATAATTACGAATGATATATGCAAGTATCATCTGATTGTTCACAATAAAGTTTTCAACAATACTTACTGCATTTCTACGCATATAATTTAATTGCCTTCATATTCATACACGTTTAGTATTATTAGTTTCTATAATTGAATCTGGAAGTAATGATTCACATGATTTATCTATCTAACGTGATACACTCATCGCCTAAACGGTGATTCATTAGGAAGTTATAATGTTTTAGTTTTTTTTTTTTATTTGACAAATGTTATGATGAAAATTCTATAAAAAGATATTGGCGGATATGCCCGTTTTATCGTGCAAAGGTTAATCTAACTAGTACATTAAAGATAAATGTTTTTTTTTCGCATTGAAATTACAAAAGCTAACATAAAACACATTGAAATCTTACAAAATAAAGATGCGGTCAAACATGTTTTGAATATTAATATTGTTGTTTTATGTTTTACCTTGGCAGCGGGTTTCCATGTCAGCGAAGAAGCCGGGGTAGGACTGCTCGTCGCAGTAGAAATTTGTGTAAGGCACTGCGCCGAGAATTGGATAATCCGTCCCTGGTTTTCCTGAAATGTAACACAAAATCAGTATTAATAATGTTTTTGTCTTAGCTATGACCATATTTTGTCTTTTTTACATTCAACTATAATTTTACATTTTTATAAATTACTAGCTGTCGCCCGCGACTCCGTTTGCGCGGGATTAAAAATAGATGTTGGCCGATTCTCAGACCAACTCAATATGTTCACAAAATTTTATGAGAATCGGTCAAGCCGTTTCGGAGGAGTATGGGAAGGAAAATTGTGATACGAGAATTTTATATATAAGATGTAAAATTATAGTTAAATGTAAAAAATTGTAATGTATTTTAGCGGGTTCATATTTCGAAGCATTGTTTTTCTTACAGTAAATAATCCATAATTATGTTAACTTATTGGTTGAATAGTCTCCACTCTAAACTAAAGTTCAACTGTAAGTAACTATCTTTATCGTAATACGAGTATATCATCATTTGACCGCTGAGACAAAAATATGCATCATTTGTCATGTCTTCAAAACAACTTCTAGGGAAAATACAAAAGAACTTAACCTCAGACACCTTCAGACCTTCATATAAAATGACATATAATTTAATATAATAATTACCAAATATGCCTGTTTTGTAGGTAATTCTTAGACTTTAAATGGGCTTGTTTACAATAATCCGATACCTAAGTTGCAATACACAATAATAATTGCCATGCATTAATATGCCCCATTGGGGCCATATCAGTAGTGAAATAGAGAACCTTATAATATTTCAAGATTTTATCTTCGTAGCAATCTATATTTCGCTATGATCATCGCGCCACGCAAAACATAATTAAATCGTAAATAAAAGTATATTCTGCTTTGTATTTACATATGTATAAAATTGCAATTAACATTTCAAAAACCTGCTCTTTCACGATTTTGCAGTGAAATAAAGCAAGGTTTAAGGTGTTAACCTTCAACAAAATAGATACATATTATATGATTTATTAATATTAGTGTGAACGATATCATCCTAACTTGTAAACAAATCGAAGTAGAGCCTAATTTACTTAAAATGCATCAAATAAATTTTCATATGTCAATAAAGTTTTCATGTTCTAAACAAAATGTAAAAGATAATGCGTTGATGTCTTTTATATGGAAGATTCTTTCAGGTGAGAACTAACTTACTTTCGATAATCTTTGTAATCGTGAATATTAAAAAGCTTTTAAAACCGAAATAATTATATTTATCAGTAAATACATTCAGCTATTCTTGACATATGTATAAATATCAAATCAATTAAAACATATTTAAATATTGTTGGGGTACAATATTAAATACACATATCGATGTATTTAAGCTAGGAAACTATAATGAAGTGACTGTATTTGTAAAAGACACGTAAATTTAGTTCAGTGCTCGCTAACAGGCATTGACACAATAGCGCTAAACATGACAAAGAATGTGCTCATATTATACTATTGGTGATAAATATAAAGTATGTAACACGGTACAAATAGACGGAACTAAAGCGGATGTAATATTGTGTTTTGAAGGACATCTTATTTTCCGGTTGATATATTAATTTTACGTAATTATAGCAAGGTCATCATTCAAAAAGATACTTAATTTTAAAAATGTTATGGTTATAAGAGAACAATTTCACGTTTCTTTAAAAATGTTCTATTAAACTTTAAAGAATCGTAGGCGTTAATAAAGCCTGTAATCTTAGCGTAACAGATTACAATATTTCGACTTCTTGAAGCTACTACCTACATCGTAATCGATAACCTTTCGGTTTCTAACAATAGCTAGTGCCAACGTAACACTAGCTTTATTGTTATAAGGTTCCCAGTCATTCTACTTGTGAAGCTGTTGAGACGCATTTATTAAATTTGGACACCCATTGTTTCTAACTTATCTTATCGAACTTTTTGTAACAGTTAAAAATCGTTAACAATCAATCAGTTTAACCTTTTTAATGACATTTTTGATTAACTGCTATAAATATTACTTGTGATATGTCATGTTTTATATAATATAAAGTATATAAGTATTAACCAACAATCATAATATCTAAATTCTGTATTAAGCGATTCCAATTTGATTATCATTAAAAAAAACTGAAATTATTGTATTGTAAATGTTTCCAAAGCATTTCCAAAGATATTGACTTCTCACCAAGCTATGCTGTGATGCTATGAGCACCAAGTAATGCTCACTCGTAACGTGCGCTTTAGTCTCGCTCATCCCGGCAATGGATCTATGATAACGAAAGTCACCCGCCGGCAACCACTTTCACTGGCACAAAGCAATTATTGGAACACGAATTGAAATAGCCGGCGCACGATCACGAACTATGATCGTCTTAATTCACTAGATATTACTTGTTTCATGTGTCTAAAATTACAATATTTTTAGTAACTAAGTTGTAAGTACAATTATGTTTATTTACAACTAGTAAATAATTTGTAAATAAACATAATTGTAATTTACCGTATGTTATTACAACTTTACACTATTATGTAAATATAAAATAGAGTATCCGTAATCATCATAGAGTTTCTAAAGATGATAAAAGATTCATTAAAAATACAGATATATTGTCTACATTTATTAAAGAACAAATAAACATTTTGTAAATTACGATAAACTTGTTTCTTAAATTTAAGATTAAAATCTCTATCATCGCAATTAAAAACCATCATCATGAAATTAATGGCATGTATTATTAAATGCTTATCAAGGAAATCTTTTAAAGCGGTTAAGATTGCAGAGTTTTAGTTAACAATAATTATAACTTTTGTTTTAAAAAGAGGCTGTACCTAAAGTACTCTAAAGTGTGAATTGGAAAAAAGAAAGTAATCTCAGTAACCTTTAAACTTAGTTCCCTTTCAACAAGTCAAAATGTTCGGTCAGTTAGCCAGATAACGAATCGCGTAACGATAATTGTAACGTTCCCTGAAGCGACTCTTGCAATACGGTAGTGCGGTCTTACATTTCAATGACCTACTGCTTGGAAATGTCAAATAGCATTCTCATTTAAATCGAAGGAAAGGGCACTAGGATTTTAGAATTTTCAACTAAACTGTTGTTTCTAAAATGTAACTCCGAAATATAATACAATGACGTATTGTTATAATAGTTCTTACTTCTTATCCTTAGATGGTTGGATTGATGTTTATTGGAAGGTATATCCAGAACGGTTGCATGCGTCTCACTAAAATTTGCCATAGATGTAGACCATAGTGGCTAACAATGACTATAGCAAAGGATATAAGAAGTACCAACTAAGCCTATTAAAATTGATATAACGTAATCTAACGTCATCTAACCAAAAACTAAGTAACGCAGAGAACAAACATTGAATTGCTTAAATTCAAAATTAATTAAACGCCTCAAAGCGAAGGTTTCACAATAGTAATTGATTTGCGTTCTCTCATGTCATTTGAGTAATGAATGACTGTGCATGTATTTGGCAATGAGAGAATTTGGATACTATCTATGATCGTATTGGGTACAAGAAAATCAAAAAGCAATTTATTACAATTTGTTGCAATATGAAAAAGTTCCTTTTACGAAACGACGAACGAAAACCTTTACAACAATGGCTCTTAAAGTTCCTTAGAGACAGTTATTTGTGTTGCTAATGTTTTAAAATTAAGGCAAATGCTTGAGATATTAGAAAATTCTTAAGGTATGTTTGTAAGCACTGTCCCCCAAGTAACAAACAGATAAAATTTAAAAAGTTAGTTATTGTTACCTACACTAAATATACAACAAAAATATACCTATCGTGAGTCTATTAACATTTAATTAATATTGCTGGCAACATAATATACATTTAATTAAGAATAATTATAATTTTGGACCTCATCACCGAAGTACGAAAGATAAAGTAATAAATACGAGCCAGGCAAGCATAAGGTCGCAGAGGACAGAACCGAACAAGGTCAACATTGACACGTTTATGTAATAATTTGACTTTACCTGTGACTTTACCCCAATATTTATCAACATTGGCAATGATGATGAGAAGATATGAATTGGTATGATAAACATTTCTGTACCATTTACATAGAGCACTGTAAAATACTGTAAATCTTTTTTTTTAAGTCATCTAAAAGTTTCACCGCAAACTACTTATATCCGTTTTACGAGTATATCTTTGGTCAGAGTTTACTTAACATTTAATAAATGCTTTTATTTTTGGTATGTCTAAAAAAACTTTAGAAGCTACAGTTTATTTAATTATATTTTTATTTGTGCCATCTCGTGGCATTGATATTTTATGCCGGGTGTCGATAAATTGATATTTTTTTTCTTTTTAAAAATACAATTTGTTGATAACAAAATAAAAGAATGTTATAAATGCCGAATCTAGTTTTAGAATTTTATTAATTTTTACAATTACTAAAAACATAAAAGTTTGCCTATCCTATGAATTATTATATGAATTTAAATTATTATTAACTAACCACTTGTGTGTTCATAATTTAAAATTTCGATACATTCGATCCCTAAATGAAGTCAGTCTCAAGGGCACATACGATAAAATAAAAAGGATGGATCGAGTGGATCTTGTGAAGGCTCAAAGTATAACGAAGTGAACATCCTAATTATACGTAGTTTTATGTTACATCTTCGTTTAAAACTCGCCCGACTGGATCTGCAAAAGGCCATTCTGTTTATAACACGAATAGATTAATTATGATAATGGAATCTTGTTTTTGTATTCTGGAACATCTTTGTTGGCGCCGACGCCAAATAAAATTATTTCTTTAATTTAATTGATAATCCGATTATAGTTTGGTATCTTACTAATGTTATAAATGCAAATGTTTAGATGTATGGATGGATGTTTATTATTAGGTATAATCTGACTTTAATATTAATTAACGAGGCATTTAAAATAATTATCCAAGGAAAATAATGCGAATTAATGCAATGCTGTTGTTAATGAGTAATTAGCAAGCAAATTTAAGCAAGCACGAAATTACTTTAATGCAATAAATTAAGACGTTTAAAACATGCAGTAAGACAACCGCAAATGCATTAACGTGCGTTGCCCAAACTGCTTCATTAACTTAACATATCAACTCGAGTGTTGCATTGCTTAAATGTATAATATGAAATTCAAATTTTCATACAAACATGATCACAAGTCGCTCCGCCTAGTCGATTGTCTTACGACCTCCCCACCATTGTCAGTGGACTGACAAAATTACATTGCAGGAAACAATTATTATTGTCGTGCTAATTTCTTTGAACAAATTATACGCCTGTGTAACCTTGTTCAAGAACACAAGTACACATGTTGCACAACACTGTTTACATGAAAACTTTTAAAAAATAACTATGAAGGCATATATCTTTAAGAAAAAAAGGTGCTGGCCACAAAGCTCTTAGGATCCTTAACGTCTAGTCTTGACGTAAACAGGTTTATATTATTTGAGAATTCCGGTTTTAGGGTTTATGCTTAATCCTCTTATTATTCTTTTATCTGTAAACTTGGGATGAAGAAACTCTTTGGAACCTGTTCATCCGGTCGATAAATCCAGTATTTTTATTTAATAAAATATGAAATAGCTTGTTTTCAATGCAAGTTGTATTAAAAGTTAACGACTACAATAAAAGAACACTGTAATATATTTGGTTAATTTATTCCTAAAGGTTTTAATTAATTTAAGTATCTATTAGCTTTTATTGATTCGATATAATGGCAAGAGCAGTATCACGGTAGTCTAGATTTTTTTTTCTAATGTTTACTCGTCTGCCTTCGCTTCAACCTTTACCTGTGAATGTCAAGCCATAAAAAAGTGTAACTAAGGTTATCAGATATCCAAGTCCCATTGCAAACATTCAAATTTTGATAGTAAGCTATAGAACAGGAAAAAAGGTATCCTTTTTAGTATAATTATTGTTTAATGAAAAGATAAAAACGTTTTTTTTAATCGTAAAGTAACACCACAGGTTACAACATTCTAATCGTCCTTGCAACGTAAATTTTCTCTTACGAAAGCTAAAATCTTAAAATTAAATGTGTGCATTCTGAACTCCAACTTGTTTGACCGTTCATATGATTCGGCATATATATTTCGTACGTTGCACACACGACCCACATAGCCGTGGCCAGTTGCAAAGTCATTGTAAATATTACTAACAAAGTACTTGCCGGTTTCTAAACCGCTTTTTGCTAACAAATGAAGTGCGAATATAATATTTCGTTAATGATTAATAATTATGTTACAATGCATTACCGTTACTTGTGTTTTGTTAAACAGAACATAAAAAAGCTTTTTAATGTAAAAAGGTTTTATAGCTAGAAATAGTGTATCTTGGAGTCGTATCTTTTCTGCATGTATTGCTGATGCATCTCAACTATAATTGCACATCTTTCGAATTAATAACAAATAACTTTAAGTTTATGAGATAGTCGTGTGTTTGAAGTTTTATCATCAAAAAAATCCACCGTTAATTTAACACATTTTGCGTAATATTTTGAAGTAAGCGATATGGAAAATAACACAAAAACAGGCGCAATATTAATTCCGCTATATTTATTCCAGTGAGTTATTGCTTAAACGGCCTATCGGTTTTGTCCGGGTTACGTGAAGCGCAATGATTACCAACGAAGTCATAATGAGTGATTGTTAACAGAATTAAGAAGTCAAACAAAACCCGAGAGAGCGAGGCCGTACTGAGCACGACACCATGGATTCACCTTGAAGGTGTGGCCTGAAGATACCCACAACCCATTCTGTATATAAGTGTACTTCATTGATGCCTTGTGTTACATATCACAGACTTTTTGTTTTTATTTTTTAAATATTTACCTGAGCTAAATGGAATTGTATCAAATACAATGTTTTATATAAATCTGTTTTAAGGACATATTTTTTTAATACCGGTAAAAGGCGATCTGCCTTTTGAAATGTGGTTTAGGTTATGGAGAAGAGATTAAAGGGAACTTATTTATTAAGTTCATATTCATCATACAAGACACCATTTTAGGTTTATTTTAAAATGTTAAAAATATTCGGCTTTTATCGCTATACGTTCACTTCGTTTGAGCGTTAAAAAGGATTTTCGCATGAGTTCATTTTGGACTCCCGTAACGTGAGTGCGAACTGTCGACAGAATGACTAATCATCTAAATTCTGAGTTCACGCACTGAATACGCTATTAAATACAATCATTAAGTTCACTTATACCTATACTTAAGTCGATTAAGAGACGCTCCTCGGTCACGAATCATGGATATAAAAATACAATGACGATACCATGACTCATTCTTATATTAAGGTTCATTACAAAAAACTCATCCAACATAGTCTTTTTAATAATACTTTGTTATTGTCCTGGGTAATTAGATCAATAAAGCAAGATTGCATTAACATGTACTACAAATTTCATTACCATTTTCTAATGACTTTTCTAAATAAGAGCACGAGTCGCACTCTGATTTTTAATTTACAATGCTCGTAGCGTCTTACACAAGAAGTCATTGAAATCGAGTGCATATTTGAATAAAATATTGCAAGTGAATCATGTGATTACGTATATTGACTGCATTAATATTACTCTTTACAAAATTTGTTTACATTTCAATGAAAACCGACCTTTGATTCATAATTCTATAGTAACATACTTTCGACATTTGGTTTAAAGTCTACCTTATTATCGTTAGATCCAGAATCGAATAACATGTACATTTAGACTAAGATCGCGTGTAAAAACTTATAGTTAAGAAATTTACAATACCTAGAATTTTGGCAACCATCCAACTTAAATTATGTAAGACTTAAGTATATGTATAATTTTCTCTCACATATCCTGATATAATAAAGCGTCAGATTATTTACATTCGCATTTTAAATATAGGATTACTTACCGGGTATAGCCATGCCAAGTTCCAAATATTCTTTGACTGAGGGTATGAGGAATGATGGTGGCGCGGGAACAACAGTGTCGGGCTCCGGGGCATCGAGCGCCTGTGCCGGGTCCCGCACGCCTGAACTCTCAGCTCGTACCCGCTTCACTCGACTGCCTTCTTCTAAACCGCCTAAAATAAAGGAAAATTCTATTAAACAATTGATAAATAAATGGGTCCGAACTACCTACGATTCTTACTGCGCTGATCTCATGCTGAACGAAATTTGTTCTTAATTTTAATATTATAAATATTATTCATACACAAAGTCGTGCTCCTAGGATACGAGAAGGAATAGAAACAACAACTCCAATTTGCTTAAGGAGGGTCAAGAGATCGAAACCTACTGACGAAGGATAATTTTATTAAAATCGACGAAATTATTAGCTACAGTACTGAGTATATTTGCTTAAATGAACAAGTAAACATAATTTTTGTAATACACAAGATGATTTGGAAACGAAAACTCAACCAATCAACTTTTGTGGGTAGCATAATTTTGCAACACATACAGACACCACAAGGTTAGACAATTCATCAATCATTTCGTCAAATGTATAAAAATATGATGCGGTATTACTGCTTTAAATGTAGTAAGTAAGAGAAATAACGATTTATTATAATAATATATGTATGTTTGGTTAATAGCAGCTTACCAGCTTTGTTACTTGTCACCGGATTCGACAATGAACCTTTGGTTGACAAATCTTAAAGGCGAATGTACTGTAATCATGATGTAAGCTACCTATTCCAAGAGTTGTTGCTGGATATGACTACTTAGGAGTGGTTTTAATGCCATTACATATAAGTGTAGCAAGAAAGATCAGTCAATTAAATACATGTATGTACATGAACCGTCCATACAGTGACAGTGGTTGCTACATCACGCAATCAAAGACCGTCAACTACTCACAAAAAATCACATTCTTAAAGTAATCACCACATTAAGATCATCTAAATTTTGCAACTAAAATTCTAAATATGATACTAACGTTTTCAAATATTTTAACTTATAAGAAACTCTACTTAATGTAACGAATGTGCATAAAATCTTAAAAGATACCGTCACAAATTCTTATTAAAATTATAACTAATAGGACTTTTATAAACCTAGATATTCAACTAATTTTTATGAAAATTGGCATCTGATGATTTTAATAAGTGTTCGTGCGTTTACATTTATATTTGTGAAACAATTAAACAGCAACGTGAGGTAATGCAAATCTTTGATCAAATCTACATAAACTGGCAATTCTAAAAAAAACACAATATTTTATTTTCTTCGTAATAGTAATAGCCCAGTTAAAAACAAAAGATCTGTAACAATAGGCATGTTATCAGATCTCGGATTATGAAATGGGACATCGCTTTTGGAACGCAGTTGATAATAACTTGTAAAGCGATATGAATTATGTTTTAAAGTCGGCGAAAATTAAGTAACACTGTGATAACAATAAAGAACTCCCGACTCCTGTACTCCCTCGTAATATAATCAAATATACTTCACCTAAAGATTTGGAAAAACTAGGATATTTAATTTTGATTCACCATTTTTTTTTATCCCTCCAAAGATGTGTTTTCCAGTGAGATGTTCTTCACATCAAAGTTAATAATGTGATATACGAATACTACAAAGTGATAGTTCATGTTTTATTTGCAATACTTTTCCTTACATATCTATGTATTTATGTATTACAAAGGTTAACACTATTATAACCTTAGTCCCAACTTAATCAAGCGAAACTGCCTTCGACAGTCCTTACACGCATCGTGCATTTATTTATGACTGAGTTTCAAATGACAGACATTAATTTGAATAGATTTTTTATGCCTAAATTTCTAAAAACTGTTTAACCAAATACAGATTAGATTCAAAGGATATTTAGTCACTTGCGTTAGATTTACGTAAATGTCGGCCTAAGGCCCTATACTGCACAATTAACGGAAAATTGCACTGCACTTTTGGTATGTAAATTTTTTTAACTAAAGTTTTATGTTAAAGGTCCTAATAAAAATGCTAAAATTAAATTACAAGTTATCTAAGTTTAACATTTTTAAGTGGAACGTGGTCTTTGCCTGCCACAAAATTTAGGTCTTTTAAACACAGTTGCAAACCGCAAATAAACTTAACAAAATTTAACTTAACATAAAACAACTTAAGCAATGGTTCAAACAAAATCAGTACCTCTTATATTTTGAAAAGCTTAAAATATTAGACAGCTTAAAGTCATACAATCTACAACTTGAGTATTATCCCCTTAACTATGAGGTCATCTTGCGTAATATGTATTTACAAGAAACAAAACTAATACTTGGTAAGGTCATCGTAAGCTTATTCAAATATTTTTTTATTTTACCAATGAATAACATATTATATTTAATAGTTTACACATTAGTTTCTCATACGATATTTTTATCAAGTTATCTTACCAGTGAAGGTCAAACACGTGATGATGAGCACCAAAAATCTAAAAATCGCTTTTAATCCGTTCATCATGATTATTATGTTCTACTAAATAAATTCACCAACATATCTTGATACACGATAAAACTACACGTCAGAATAAATTATAAGGAACATCGATTAAACTACGGCTCCTCTAAACTGGTTTAAAAACTGTGACTTATGGAACCGCGACGTCTCACATTCGCTTCATAAATTGTGTAAGAACGGTACTTGCGTGCGCTTTCGGGGACAGCCGTCCGCGCAATGCTCACTCCGCGTATATCTTAATACATCCAAATAAAAAAGCTATAGGAAACATTACTTTATTGACCTCTAAACGTTTTCGACTAATGGGAGGCCGCTTCTTCTAAAGAAATAGTCAAAATAGACGAAGATTCGTAGGCATTCAATTTTTATATTATAATTTTAAAAAACGACATAACGCAAAATGAACATACTACAACATACAATACTAGCTTAGATTGTTGCGAAATTATACACGTAAAGCTAAAAAAAGCTTATGTTAACTGCAATAGCAGGTGTACCATTGCATAACTATGCTTAGTTCTTCCATTTAGTTATGTCATAACTTGCTTCAGAACTTGAGATTAATCATGTGGATTCTTGAATCGTAGAATTTGCAGCATTGCATTATGGTTACGGAATTCATTTTTTATAATAGTTCAAACGATTCCCGCCTGTCTATGTACTCGTGGTGCGTCTCCACGGACGAACGGATCAGTCTATATTCTATATATGTGCCAATTTTCAATGTGTTGAACTGGTGCGGAGTTATCGAGTAAATAATCATATATTCATACCCCTGGAACCGTACACATTTCCGGGATCATAGGTAGCCTTTGTATTCTTCCAGACTATGTTCTATATCAGGGGTGACGAATCAATGTGCCATATTTCTACACAAATGTTTAATGAGGGCATAGACGCACCATTAAATAATTTTGAATTTATCATTACTGTAAACATTCTGTGGCGAAGGGATTTTGCTTCTCATACAATATTTACCTTTTTCAGTGTCGTGCCCTAATATTGCGTCGCCTACCACGCCACTAATGGCATGCATGCTGCCGTTGGTTCGCCACTTCTGTTCTGTACCTATGTCAAATTTCATCCAGACCCGTGTCTTTTGTAGAGCTTTAGTATGAAAAATCAACGCTAAGCAACAGAATCGTCAATAACAGTATGATATAAAATATTTCTTTTGTGTGAGAGATCGGAAAACTCTTTCGATCGCACAAACAATGCATCACATAAATCGTTAAAAATGCTTTTAGATTCTTAGATTGGTGCAATATGAATGCTTGAAAACACATTAAATAGGTTGAGATCGAATATTGGATTCAGCATAAGCAGAGCAGGATCAGGAACGCAGCAGGATGCTAGTTACATTCTTTTTGAGCAGGATTTAAAAAAATTAAGATCCATAAATCTTCTTGGATATACTGTTTGGCTATGGCTACCTACTCTTTGTAACTTGCCGCTTAACTTATCTATGAATGACCTAAACGTCTATGCTACCAGGTCATAAAATTAAAAAAAAAGACTTATCTTTGAAGCGGTGCCGCCGACTTGGGATTTTGTTTTCAAAGTAAAAAGCGAAAGTCGAATGAAGATTTTACGTTTTATTGCGAATAAATGCAAAGTTTTTGAGTTTTATGGAGAATAAATTAGTTTAGATATACATATTCATTGTAAAATAATTTGTTGTTTTTCAATGTTAATTTGTTTCTGATTGTCAATCGGAAATCCGCATAAGCAATGAATACAAAAATTAAAAAATGTTGTCCCAATTGTAGTCAGTTTTTCAGTTTAAAATGTAAGATTATCTGATTAATTTTCACAGATATAAAATTAATTAATATCAATTAATATTTGTAAGTTCATCTTTGCAGTATTATCTTCAAAACAAAATGCCGAAAATATACCCCTTTTCTTAAAATGCGGACATTCTATGTGCGAAAATTGTATTACAAATTTGGTCAAGTTTGAAGAACCCATAGAATGCAAAGTTTGTCACAAAGATATGGAAATACAAACAAAAGATGTCAAGTCAATGGTGAGAAATAAATTAAAACTGCGCCGGTTGTTTCCAGTCAACATATACATGCTTGGAGAGTTATCACTAGAGCTTTTAGAGGTAGGTTCTAAACATTTTTACTTAACTAATTGGCTTACCAATGATATACAAATTAACACATGAAAGATTAACTTATTAAATAGACATATCTTTTCAGTCAAAAGATGAAATAAAGAATAATGATGATGACTGTTTTCTTAATTTGAAAGCTATTATTCAGGCAACAGAAACATGTCAAGGTAAATATTTTACTTGTTTGGTAAGTTTATTGGTGACTAAAGCTACCCTTTAATTCATGAAACTCTAATAAAAGTGGCAGTTGGAGACAATCGGGGAATAATGTGCTTAAAATCAATGTGATTTTTTATTTGTGTACTGTCAATATTTATTTTTTTTGTCAGGTCAATGTTTGGAATGTACCAATCCAACAACTAAAATGTGTAGACAATGTGCAACAGTACTTTGCGAAGTTTGTTTCAACAAAAGTCACAAGAACTTTGTTATATTCAGAAATCATGTTCTCCAAAATATAGGTGCATAATAAGTTTACTGATAATTTATCTTTATGATGTTTCTAAGAAAGTGTAGATTATGTTTATCTTATATCTCATTGTTGTAGAACCAGAATTATCACTAAACAATTGCAAGGTGCATACAGAAAAAACATTGGACTACTATTGCAAGGACTGTTCTAAACCAATCTGTATGGATTGTTTGGTAATTGGTGGTGAAAAATCTTGCAAAAATCATAACTTGGTATCCACACAAGAAGTTGTTAGTGTTATATTATTTATTTCATTTAAATTTGGAACTTTATAACTGGAAATTACATAATTGTTTTATATATTTTCTTAATTTTATATACAGAATGAAAAGCTTTTGGAAGATTTAGCTGAAATCTGCCCTAAGGTAGATGAAACATACAGACGATTAACTAAAACTGCAGTTGTAAGTAGTAGCTTTAGCTTTTTCCACAATAATTGTATATATAGGTAAAAATGAAAAGAAATACAAATATATAGGACCAAATTTACTCACACATTTTTAAAAATATATTGCAGGATATTGGCCATCTTTTATATAACATTGGAAATGATACTGGATCTTCAGAACTATTGCAAATTGAGAAAGAGGTTGAACAAAGTTTCTCTAAGCTATCATTTATAGTACAAGTATTAAAAGGTGAAGCAGTCAATAAGATAATTGATCTAAGAACCACTGAGAAAGAATCTCTGGAAAATGCTAAAAAATCACTCGCTGACTCAATTAAGAATGCAAAATATGTGTTAAATTCTGTGAAAAAATCTTTAAGTGTGGAGAAAATAAAGCAGGTAATTATACCTAGACCTAACCTTACCTAACTAGTGTAATGGTAGTTAAAAGTTATATTATCTATTTCATATTTTTTTTTAGGCAAACATGTCATTATTGCTAGAAGATGCTAAGAAAGTTGTCAATAGTCCTTGGTATTTAAACCAGAATAAAGCTGAACTAAAGTATGTAAAAAAATTAAGTAACAATACTAAAGTTTACTATTTTTTTTTAAATTAACTAATAATCTGTGCTGGCTATATTTGTCTCAATTTTTCAGTGTTGTTGTCAACGAAGAAGTTTGCAACCTCCTTGCAAACTTTATCCATTTAGATGGCGAAACCGATGGTACATTCAAACTCCTCACTACTGATGAAATAGATCCAAATATTGATATACCCCCACCTCCAGTAGCACCGGTATTTCCACCAGAGCTTCCCAAAGGTAACATGTATCATTTTTTATTAATAAAAAATGTGTCCCATGTTATTTTTAGACATTTAATGCTTATAATTTTCATGTACTAACAATTTTACCTAAGGTATTTACTATGTAAAATGTAGGATGTTATGTTTATATGTTTTTCTACTATTATCACTAGTCTGAAATTTTCCCTACAGAGAGTCTGCACAGTACACTACTACTCTTCCAGCTATATCTCTATCAGCTGTCATCTTTGTCTACTAATTTTTCAAATAGTTATATTGTTTCATTTATATTTATTATATACTAGCTGTAGCCCGCGACTCTGTAGCCTATATGTTCTTCCAGACTATGTTCTATATCTATGCTAAGTTTGAATGAGATCTTTTTAAGAGAGATTAAGCCATTCTGGTGATACCTTCAAACATTTATAATATTAATAAGATTCAATCATTAACTCCATCTCTCTTGTTTAAGATGTGAGAGTGAAAAGGAGTGAAAATAAAGCTGATATTGAAAAGGATAATACGAAGTCTCAGACATTCTATACAAAGGCTCCGACATACCACAGCAAGAGTGCTTCTATTTCATCATTAAATTCTCTAAACAGTGATTCTTCATATAAAAGTTCAAGCAACAGAGGTAAGAATTGCTTGTTAATCTTTTATAACTGTTGAAATTTTTATGTCAAACAAGGTAATTGTTGACGATGGAATGTTTTGTTAATTATTTAAAGGTATCGACTTTGTGTTATTTTATTATATTTCTATGTGTATTTAATATATTTGTACTCTGTATTTGTACCATAACGTACCATTTTATTATCTGTACACTACTGATTATTACCTAGGTAGATGTAAAACTGTTGGTAACTTTGGAATAAAATAAATAAAGATATTGCAAGGTAGTCGGCACACAGAACAGTCAAAATTCAGCCGTCAGACTGCGAACAGTGCGCACCTATTCAAATCCTGCGTTTTATTTCTCTCCTCATCGCCACCATCCTTTACAGTAATATTGATTTATATAAATTTGCAGATGAAGGACTTTATAAGCCTGTACATCAAGTGTCGCCATATCAAGAGAACCAGCAACCGAAGGCATTGTGTGCAGGTATATTGTATAATTTGTTTTTTATGGGTTTTATATTTGTTTCATTGCATGGCCCAATCTATGAGTCTTGATAGAATTAAGCTAGAGTCGTTTTTTACAACTTTTTCGCATGGTATTAGCCTCGCCTGTTGGTTTTTAAATTATTACTGTCTAAATGTAAATTCTATATTAACAAAACATTAAATCTGGTTCAGTACCTGTTAAACAATCGAATTTGTTTAGTCTTTAGCATTTCATTGATAAGTATAAGGCACAGCTCACACAATCAACACATCCGGATGACATCATTAAGTTACTGGAAATAAAATGCTGACTGTTGTATAAATCACGCAAAG